TTAGTTCGTTGTTTGAAGAAAATAAACATAAGGCTCTGATCTTGTAAGCATGTATTCATGTGAGTAATCCCATTGTTGTATAAAAAATTAAGCATATTGCACGCATGTTTGCAAGATTAAAGCTTTGGATGGTCTCAAATCATATGTATTGCCTATTGGACAGCATAATGGGATAGCAGACAAAATATCTCCTCAATGATATTAACATTATAAGCAAATCTTCTTTCATATGGTCCCATAGGTAGCAATAATTATTTTTATCTGCTTAAGTTTAAGTACCCATTCTCCAGATACTTAATGATGTTCTGTCTCACACACGCCTTCCTTTTTTCTTTTTCTCTCCCCTCCACTTCCCCTCTCCTATTTATTTCGAGTTTTCATATCCCCTACTCATAACTCCAGTCATCTGAAGAAGTGGGCTGTGCCCATGAAAGCTCATGATACCATCTACATGTTTTGTTAGTCTATAAAGTGCTACCAGACCATTTGTTGTTTTTTTCTGTAACAGACTAACTTGGCTGCCCCCTGAAGCTTCTAGTATTTAAGGGTGTGTCTAGACTACAGGGACTTGTCGACAAAAGTGGACTTTTGTCGAAAAAACTATACCTGCGTCTACACTGCCCCTGAGTTCTGTCGACATAAAGTCAACAGAACTCAGCAATTTTGTCGACAGCTGTAAACCTCATTCAATGAGGAATAACACCTTTTGTCGACAGAGTTCTGTCAACAGAAGGCGTTATTGCATCTACACTGTCCTTTGTGTCTACACTGTCATGTCGACAAAGCGGCTTGCTTTGTTGACAGAATTGGCTGTAGTCTAGATGCTCTTTGTCAACAGAAGCTTTGTCGAGTATCTGTCGACAAAAACTTCTGTCGACAAAAAGCTTTAATCACAGACATAAGACACATGGTATCATGTATGTTATGATAGCATCTTACAGTAAAAAAAACAAACAATCCCCCCATTCCCCCCCCGGGACACATACACAAGGAAAGCAAAGGGTTTGTCATGTACTTTTGGTTGAGAAATATAAGTACTTACTATAATTATATCAATTTGGTACATTTTCTAATAATAAAATAGGACAGCTGGATAATGGGAATACATGCCTTTGGAAAGCAACATAACATATTTTAGTGTCTCAAAGCAGAGAAATTGATGGAAGGCTACATCTTTCATGTTTAATTATCCTTTCCTGATGTAATGAGAATGCCAAACAACTGTGGTGTCACTGATATGCCAGCGGAGGGGGGGAAAATCCACAAAAGAATAAATAAATACAACAAAAGCCAGCCTTTCCTGACAACTTTGTCAACCACTTTTGGTGCTTCGGAAACGAGGTATGCCTGGATTATCTACAGCAAGCAGGCCAATTTGAATTTCATTTTCTTTTTTTCACTATTCATAGAGGCAGATAACTCAGTTTAAAAGAGTAACACTGTTAGAACCAGATTTTAATCTCTGAGGGCATGCATTGCAATAGAACATTTCACTGAGCAATACTGCAAGTAAGTGACAAGTCTGATTTTCCATATCAAATACTCTGGAGTGTTCCTCTTTTCAGGATGTGAACCTTTGACCCACTAAAAACAACCTGAAAAGTGGTAACAACCTTAGTTATAGTTCCATAAAGATGTATTTCTCATCTTTAAAAAGAAAAAGGATTAAAGGAATATGCTTTTTCTCGGTATTAGCTACTCGTATTGAACTATTGATGTGAAAAACCTTTAAAAACAACCAATAGTGACGTGAAGTTACTTTCATGAGGAAATTTTGAGTCTTTCTATGAAACTCAAGGTGAAGTTTCAGGGTCTAAGTTTCGAAAATGGTCGGAACATTTTCAACATTGAATGTCTGCCAAATAAATGTTATCTTTGAAAACTGGTCAGATTATGCCAGCCATGGGTGGTGGGTGAACCTAGGGCCCAGCCCTGCCTCTTCCACCCAAGGCCCTGCCCCCTTCAGGAGCCAAGCCCCCCACCACCAGAGGGCAGGGCTCCAGTTCCCCTTCCCCTTGAAAGTCATCCCCATTGCAGGGGTAGGTCTCCAAGTCCCCCTCCCTGGCCCTGCTTGTGAGCCTCCCCAACTCCAGAGCATGGGGAGGGTGGCACATGGCCCCAGCCTCAGTATGGCAGAAGCCCGAGGGCAGCCCAGGAGCCATGCTGAAGCAGGGGGAGAATGTGGGTGGGGCCACACTTGGCAGTTTAGAAAGGCAATGCCTTCCCCTACTTTTATACCTGACACCCAGGATGCCCACCTCAAAATGATATTACCAAGGATAAAAAAGTTTAAAACAAAAAGCGGAATTAGCATTAGTGAATGGAAACAAATCAGCAGGTCTGGAGACCAAAACCCTCTATTTACTCAAAGAAAAGGTAGGAGCACAGACAATGGTAGAACAAGCTTCCCAGCATGGGAAAAGTTATTTACTTGTACCCATAATATAAGAACTAGGGGTCCCCAAATGAAATTAATAGGCAGAAGGTTTAAAACAAACAAAGGAAGTTTTTCTTTACACAGCACACATTCAATCTGTGGAACTCCTTGCCAGAGAATGTTGTGAAGTCCAGGACTTTAACAGGGCTCAAAAAGGAGTTACATAGATTCATTGAATCCATCAATGACTATTAGCCAGGATGGGTAGGAATGGTGTCTCTTGCCTCTGTTTGTCTGGAAATGGATGACAGGAGAGGGATTATTGTGATGATGATTACCTATTGTGTTCCCTCCCTCTGGGGCTTCTGGTATTGGCTACTCTCGGCAGACAGGATACTGGGCTAGATGGATCTTTGGTCTGACCCAGTATAGCTGTTCTTATTGTATTAGTTCTTATTGAACTAAGGTCACCAAATTCATCATGTTTACTTACTATACTCTAACGTAGGTTATGACAGCTGTGCAGCAATGACATGCTGTATTGTTCTGGTGGTGAACACAGATTTGGTTTAGAGGTCAATCCAGCCTCCATGGCTGATAGAGCTTGGCACACAAAGAATAACCATGCTTAGTACCAGTGAAGGAGAGAGACCGATGAATCACTCTTGAGCAAGCAGTCCCTCTGTAGAAGACACCAACATTCTCCAGAAAAGGCTGTGTCTAGAAACTGACTGGTAACTCTGGCTATGTCTAGACTACAGGCTTCTTTTGCAAGAGATCTTCCACTAAAACTTCTTGCAAAAGAACGTGATTGCAGTGTGGATGTTCCGCAAGTTTTGTGGGAAAAACAGCCGTTTTTCTGACAAAACTCTATAGTGTAGACATGACACAGAGTTTTGAAGACTGTTGGGGGTGTAAAGAAAGGACACCTGTGTGTGTGTGTGTGTGTGCACGTGTGCACTTTCACTCACATACCCACACTTGTGTATTCCGAAGGTTTCAAAAAAGAAACAAAATGAAAATAAATCCAAACCCATGAGCATTATTAAGCAGTGTTTTCTTACTTAAAAAAACAAACAAAAAACCCCCTCCAAAAAACATAATTCCACTTCACTCCCAAAATTAGTAAATCTAATTTAACTTAGTCTACCTCACAAGTTGAATATGAGTCAACAGTGTGACGTGTTGCAAAAAAAGCAAATATGATTCTAGGTTGTATCAACAGGTGTGTTGTAAGCAAAACTTGTGAAGTCATTCTGCCGCTCCACTCTGCACTAGTTAGGCCTCAGCTGGAGTACTGTGTCCAGTTCTGGGCGCCACATTTCAAGAAAGATGTGGAGAAATTGGAAAGGGTACAGAGAAGAGCGACAAGAATGATTAAAGGTCTAGAGAACATGACCTATGAAGCCAGGCTTCATGAACTGGGCTTGTTTAGTTTGGAAAAAAGAAGATTAAGGGGGAACATGATAGCGGTTTTCAAATATCTAAAAGGGTGTCACAAGGAGGAAGGAGAAAATTTGTTCCTCTTGGTTTCTGAGGACAGGACAAGGAGTAATGGCCTTAAAGTGCAGCAAGGGAGGTTTAGATTGGACATTAGGAAAAAATTCCTAACTGTCAGGGTGGTCAAATATTGGAATAAAGTGCCAAGGGAGGTGGTGGAATCTCCCTCTCTGGAGATATTTAAGAACAGGTTAGATAGACATCTGTCAGGGATGGTGTAGACGGAGGTTGGTCCTGCCTTGAGGGTGGGGGGCTGGACTCAATGACCTCTCGAGGTCCCTTCCAGTCCTATGATTCTATGATTCTATATTTTGCAACTGCAAGCTCATTTCATTTCCTAAAGCCTGACACAATTTGAATGATGGAGCTGAGTTTCTAACAGATGATCATATATCTACAGACACTTCTGGTAGGATTAGAGGTACTAACACAAGGTTAATAGCAGGCTCATGCGCTTGAAATTTTACATTTACATTGTGCTCAGAAAAATTCCTGTGATTTGATTATAATAAGAAGAAAGGTCGTTTCCCACAGATGGTCGTTTCAGTGGGAAGAATTGGTCAGGCACTGATATGGTTAATCACCAACTGTTTTCAGTGTAGTGTTTCTACCAAAACCCCTTCTAAAACCTGCCCTTAACCAGCTAAGAGCAATTACCAATGATTAATGAAGGGCAGCACATAGCTCTCATAATAAATCACAAATCATAACAACCAGAATGCCTCATAGGAGTGTTAGGTTTGCAGCT